GAGAAGCAAGAGGAGAAGAAAAAGGAATACAAGTAGTGAATAAGGAGTGATCACGTTCAGCCTATATTAATGGTATGACSTACAAGTCTTTATATATTTTATTATACAAATGTWTGTATATATGTATGCACTTTTATGAGTACATATACTATGTATGTATACAACTTAATACAATACGAAGGCAAGCCAATATAATATATAATATTTTCTGACAGCTTGTGCAAAGAAAAACGTTACTGTAAATTCTAAATATGTACATATGTCATATATACAGGTATATGTATGTGAGCGTGTATTTATTTAAATTTGCACTATGGCAACTAAATAAAAGTAAGAAGTAAAACGGCAAAAGGACAACAGCAACATCTCAGCTGTAGCTTACAGCGGTGTGTGGACATTTTACAAAGCAACACCAAGGAACGGGGTCTTCGAGCGAKTTTTATTTGCAGCCATTGCCAAGGGAATATGGAGATCGATACACAACAGTTAGCGGGTAATTTCTTGGAGGTTTTCCCGAGTTCGGCTATAGTATTTGTTGAAGGTACATTTATTATAGAAGAGTTGTTTTTCTCACTCGAAGCCTAAATGAACCATTTTCCAATTCCAAAGAATGTGTCATCTAACATAATAGATTTATAAGAATTGGAGTTAGCTTTCACGCGACTTTCTAACCRACGACATCTGTGGTTTTCAGCGGGGCTTCATAGCGACAGACTTACACACACGCAAACATGGAAAGAAATGTTTTAAGGAAACTCGAATGGTTGACATTGCTGTRTCTATCAGATGCTAAGCACAAGTATTAGACATTTCTTGCTAACCGAACAGCTAACAATGCTGAKATATGTCGTAGCCTATGTTTTAACGGTACATAAAGTAGCGTTATTTTATTAGCGACAATGTGCGGTTCCCGAGATATGCCATCTGATTGTGTACAACAAAACAAATGTTCATGTGAGTACTTATATAATACGTACATATAGGTAGATATTTAAGCATATTCGTTCATATGTATATACCACGTCTAACGGCAACAAACCTGCATCGGGTATGACAATAAGAATAACAACTGAATTCTCTAAGAGAGCAAATCGACGACAAACAACARMCAGCAAATGAGCCAGTACAAGGCATAGCCATAGCATAGTAACAGCGGTACCAAGTGGCAACGGTTGCCAATAAGCAATCGACAGTCGACGGCCAACAATCGACGTCCGATAGCGGTCTGACAAGACAATTTAYTTTTATTGTGTAAGAGATGGCAGCAGGAGGTAAAATGCCGTCAGGTTACTMTGCAGCTCGTGCTGCGCGAATGTGTGACTAACGGTTAACAGCAACGAATGGCGAGCTCGTTTCTCAGCGCTAAAATGCAGAATCGTGTTGGCCTGCGCCGTGGAAGATGGAAGCCCCGCTTGTGGGAGACTACGTCACCTGCACGCTGCTAAAGTGTTTGACATTTTATTTATATTCACGCTGGCATATAAACATATTTCGTGCTTCGCCATTGCATTTTCGCCATTTCCTTTCATTTATTTCAATCGTCTTTGGCATTTTCATTTTCCGCTGTAAACGCTTGGCAAGCRCARCATTTTGCTGAAGCGTGCAATCGCTTGGCGCAAAAAAAGAACAGCCAGAWGCCAAGCGTGGGCCTCCACTGGTGGAAAGGGGGGAGCAGAAGAAKTAGCGRCGGTGGCAGTGGCATTTGGATGCACTCTTGCTGGCCGGCCGGCAATTTACACGTACCACGCTTGCAGCGGCAAGTGCAACGAACCAGTGCAATGCAATGCTGACACACGAAGAGTCTTCGCTGTGGCAAGCGTGCTGCGAAGCAAAAACAAGCGCCGCTTGCTTGCATACGATGGATGCATGTGATTGTGTGTATTTCATAAATTGCTGCTTGTGAATGCACTTGAAAGCATTAGCAACAGCTGGAGAGGCGCCCGCCAGCCTCGGCCAATTCAAAGCCCAATTGAATTTTGGTGATTGCCAAATGTTGCTGCTTTTGTGACGGGCCTTTGCGGCTGCGGCTGTGGCCTGAGCTGTGGTTGTTTGGCTTTTGTCATTGCTGTCAGCGCTGTTGTAGTTGCCATGTTGTTGTTGTCATCTGCCTTAGTCGCGCTGGAATTTTTGTCGATTTGTTAAGTTTCGTGAAAGGTCGCCGGCGATTGTTGCCGTCGGCATTGTTGCTGCAGTTGTTACAATTGTGTTGCCAGCGCGCGGTTTATTTGCTGTGGCTTAACCCCACTGCGGTCGCCCCTAGCCGCAGAGCGTTTRTACACTATACGTTTGTATCTTAATGTGTGTGTGTGCATGTATTTGCATTACTTTTCCATGCTGCACTTATCTATAACTTTTATTATCCTCTTTGTTGTTGGCTTTGCCGTAATTTTCCCATCTCTTTCGGTGGGTGTAATTTGGCTTTGCCTATTTTTTACGCCAATCCTATTTCCCATCTGCTGGTTGTCGTGGTCGCGGCTAAATGAGTTCGGTGTTTGTGATTTTCCCACCAGCRTGAAACAATAGCTTTCTTGTAGATAAACAGGCAGCTTGTACCAAGTAGAAACGCTGAGTCTACACTTTTATGTTAGCATTTACAGGGTCTCCAAAACGAACCCGTATGTTCCATAACTATTTGTTTTTCATCATCCGATTTGTAGTAGCGTTGGGTATAATATTTTTCTGTGAAGGGTCGCAACACTATTATATTATTTTCTTGTTAAGTTGCTCTAAAGAAGAGTTAAGTGTGTCTAGACGATTAATGCAGCTGAAATTAAGATTCTCCGGTGGAAATTATAACATTCTTCTGATTTTAAATATGATTGAGTRAAAATTAAAGATTGATAAGAGGAACACAAGCTGCAATGAATATAATAGTTTCACAATAAGCCATATATGTATAATATTTCTATTAATCCTGAGTAGCACAGGGCCACACTCGTATATCAAACGATGACAACTTCAAGGGAACAGACGTTTTCACTAGAGGGTGTACATGACACCTTGCAATTTATCGTGTAAAGCAGATTTTAATTATATTTTCGTACTAAACTTTTTACGGTTTACATCAGCATGGTAATTTAAGGGGAGATCATCTGCAATGCAGATAAGACAATTAGTCATGTGAAATTTGTTTACTCTTGCAACATGTTGCTGCAGAGTATAATAGTTTTGTTAAGCACACGGTTATACGTGCCACCTAAAGCTTAGCGCGAAAGATATTGGGTTGTGTATGTATACTAGTGGATCCGGCCGCGTACACTTTATACTATTATTCATATAATAAACTATTCAATACAGTGAACATTTTATTTACGAATAAAGTCGGTATAAGAATCCAAGAGGGTGTACTTGATATATTTTTGAATATGTTCATACAAATCAATTTCATTGTATAAAAACGAATTTAAGGCTGCTTTCGCATGGTCTTTTTACCTGCCTACCTGTGCAGTTAATAGAGTTGTSCGCTTAATAGAGCGTTCATTTAATAAAGCTCTCACTGTATTATTTATTTATGCATTTTTTTACTATGGTATCTTCTAAGTTGTTTCGAACTGGACACAGTGTGCTAAATTTTGTTAAAATTAGTTGAGTAGTTTAGGAGTCCATCGCGAACAAACAACGTGACACGCAACTTTTATATATAAGGTAAATAATTAGGATGACGAGACGAGTTGTAATCCGGGTGACTGCCTGTCTATACGTCTTCCCCCTGCGGGTAGGGGGACCCGTCCTGGTTCGAGGGGAAACCGAATATACCCGCGGCAAGGCATACCTGTCGTAAGAGGCGACTAAAAGCCGTATGCATTATGTCAGGCTTTAGAGACCATGTTTTGATGTCTACATGRTCTAAGTCAGATAAGTGCTATAATATTCAGCTGGAGGTCAAATTTTTAGCTTTATATTTATATCACAAAATATAAGGCATTTGTCACAGCGACAAATGCAACCAGTCRTTGAGTTTTTGGGGACTCAGCTGGTAGTAGCAAAAGCTACAAAGTCAGACCAAAGACTTAAACCTGGCACCACGGGGAGCAGTAAGCCCTTGGAGGTAACTCCAATCTGCTCATTGGGTTTGGCCCTTTGTGGAGATTCGTGGTGGCTCTGGTTTAAACCTAAATGCAGGAATGGCATTTTGTCCAATGTCGGTCGCACTGCGGCCGGGTGCCGGACCCAAAGTACGGCAGAGGTTTTAGATGRGCCTYGAACCCGACCAWGGTGAYTAGGGTGTCCCTATCCACCCGAACCAATTGKAAYCAAAWATTAAGTGCAAAATGCATTTATRCTTTGKGGCACTGATCAACGCATTGYATTGATMYATGTGCTTCYAGCAATAGAAAGCACCGTGGARTTTAGTCTTCATAGACAGGTATTCACGTAAAAACACATTGACATTCTGTCTATACGTCTGTMGGTCCGTGCAAGGTGTAACTTAAATAAAAATTGAGCCAACTTGATRAARCTTGGTATGCGCGTTTCTTGGCACAAAAAAATTACGAGTTCGTAGATGGGCGGAAACGGACCACAGCCATGCCCACAAAACGTTATTAACCGGAAATTTTTAAGGTACCATAACTAAGCACTAAATTAGGATATAAAACTCTACAAAAACTTTGAAAAAAAGTGGGCGTGGCCCCGCCCCCTATTAACTCAATACTTTCCTGAGCCTCTATATACCTAAGGTAAAGATTTTCGAACTACCGGGTGGCTTTTTGCCGCATATATCGRCCAATATGTGAGATATCTAAGTARATATGAGAGTGTTTGGTTTCCTTTTATTGATGCTCATTTGTGTTAAGAATGATTAAAAGAGGTTGAAGGCTCGCCTAGACCCTATATAACTAATAAGCCTTATGTACTTGTTTCCCTGGCCTTTTGCCAGAGTATAAAATGTTTGTTATACCTGAACCTAGCTCTTCCTTATTTGTTAGTTATGAGTGTGGGCTGGAAAGCTTAAATGTTTAGCACGRTTTATAATCTAAGCATTTTCATTGACTACTCACATGTCAACATCCTTATCTGCGCTTTTATTGGTACGAAGACRTAGGAGGGAATTCAGTTCTTTCATTACATCACTCCCTTTACGTTCCAGCTCCGAAAATAGTTCTGTGTCGTCAATTTTATGTAGATCCGAACCACTACGACTCTTTATGGAACCAGATCTTTGAAAACAAAGAATAATGTGAGTGTTATTTTTAGCGAACCCTTCATTGCACCTACCGATCGATGGAGTCCACACTGCTATGTATATCGAAATCCATCATGAGATCATCGGAACATATCGACTCACAGGGAGAGAGAGTATCGAGAGAATCGGCGCGTTCCATTACCGCCTTTCGCAGCGAGAGCGGTGTGCGTAGGCTCAATTCGATTGCTTGCTGGAGCGCTGTGCGCGCTTTGGATTGACTTTTCAGAGAACGCATCGAACCAGTATTTTCCATAAGTGTGGGGGTCTCTGTCTTATCTTTGTGTGACGTCAAGCTATCCACTAGATCATGTGCYTCACTGTTAAACAGCAACGCCGGTTGGTCAGCGATCTCGTCATCAATCAAATTACCGCAATCGGAAAGTGATAGCGAATGTGAAGCATGTGTTGGCGTTCCCGGTGAAATGGGACTACCCATTTCGAGTTCAGGTGAAATCTCATCGATGTCCTTCTCTTGCAGTTCTTCATTTATTTTGTGTTTTTTCTGCTTGCTTGCGGCTTCTTCTGATTCCGTGCTGCTTACCAGACTATCCGTGGGAGAGGTCTCGTCGTCCAAAAGATAAGTGCTACCGGCTAAGGCCATTTCTGCAAATTTCGTTTCGTTAATCGTATTATAAAACGATTTCGGCCGATCCGGTTTATCAATATTTGTATTTTCCGTAGATGCGATGATGACAGTATTCGTTTCTACTGCCTTGAGTCCGGAATTATTGTTTTCATTTGCTAAGTTATCAGTTAAGGAAGCTGAATAAGAAGAGAAGTAATTATTAGGGGAACAATAATGCTCGATTCAACTATTCTCATACTTACATAGTGTACTAACTTGCATTTCGGTCACCATGCCACTTAAGTCATCGTCATTCAAGTCGACTGACATGTGCTTAGATTTTTTCAAATCGTTCTTCTCAGTGTCTGTGTCTTTATCTTGATGAAGTTTATTACTATCTTCGCTGCTAATACTGAGGCTGCTACAATCCTTTACGGCAAGAGATTCTCCGGCATTGCACCACGAGAGCATTATGGAGCTCCCTGGTGACGATGTTTTACTCGAACAAGTATTTATGTCCTTAAACTTGAAAGACAAACTTGTATTTTAGCTAAAATATTCCTTTTCATTTTGCTGGAAGAGACTTACCCTGTTTCCTTTCTCTGAAGTTGAGCGGTCTAAGAAAAGCTTTTCCTCATCGACCCCTTCACTTTCTTCAGACGAATTTCGAGTTATTGTGCACTGTGCAGGCGCCGTAGTAGGGCGTTTTCCTTCAGAACGTATGAAAAAGGAAATGAAATATACACATGTGTAATATTAATYGGTGGTGACTTACCAATATCAACCTGTTTGATTTCTTGGTTAGCACTAGCGCTTCTATTACCGATTACACCACCATTTCGTTCATAAGTCTCTCGACTAAGTACCGTATTGGAACGCACAAGACCACATAGTGGAAGCGGTACTGTTTGGTTTTCGCTCGGTAGCTTCGGCAAAGCTAGCGGCTCTACGATGGAGCTGGATTCACTCGATAAAGGGTCGTCCAGGTCACGTACTTCAAATTTGTGACGACCATTCATTACCATTTGCAAATTGCGCGGACGACTGCGGCTCCGTTTAGGCGAGGCTGTGCGTCCAGCGCGACTGCCGCCACCGCTCGAAACCGAACTATCTAATGCCATGTCCATGCTGGCAATACCTGAATCCGCTGATATCTCCCGACTGCCTGAGAATCCACGCCGTGTGTTGTTTGCCATCTGCTTRGCCGTCTTCAGATCCATATGTCCGGAAGCGGTATGTGTCACTGTGGCACAGGCKACCACTGTCAGGGGATGCTGCTGCTGCTGGTTTTCCTTGGTACGTGCACCCGCTAAGGTGGTAGCCATGGTGGGCGATGGTGTGTAGATGCTGCTSGGTGTAGTTGGAGTTGTTGCACCCACACTGATGGCCACGGGAAATTCTGGCTTTGGCAAACTTACTGTGTGCAGTGTGAACTTCGAAAAACTGGCTGGCGGTGCGCGTGGCGTTGGACGGACACTGCAAATGAAGGAGTGGAAGTGAAAGGGAATCTTCAGCATATGTATTTCTCGAAATCGTTTTTAATTGTTTATACCATATGGTGCGTATACTCACATAACATTCGTGTGCATGCCCGTGCTGATGACATTTCGCGACTGATGCTGCTGCGCCTGGTGCCCCGATTGATGGGTCCAAATGTTGGCGGCACTGCTGCGACCACTTCCATAGCTGCCATATGTGTTAGGCTGTTCGAAAAACTGTCGCCGCTGATATTCGATTGTGCTGTTCTGACTCAAATTGAACGTTATAGATTTGGGTTGTGTTATTTTTGGGYGACCGGTCGCATCGCTGCAACTGCCCGATTCGCTAGTCTCATCGCCCGAAGTCAATGCCCTGCCGGCGTGTGCACTCTTCGATCGGCGTTTCACTGCAAAAAGTCAGCACAAAGATATCTTAGTTCACTTGTGATTGAGGGCATTAGTTGCACTTGCAACAGTGCAGTCCCTGGACATAGTTTGTCTCTAGCACGTTTTATGGCTGCTGTTATTTCTGTGTGACTTTAAAATTGCTTTTATTGGCCTTTAGCCCAATTTGAAAGTAACACACTGCACGATTGCACTGACATTTGCAAGACTTGCAAGCTGGCAGACCTTGCAACATAATCGCAGCGCCGCTGCGCCACTCTTGGCAGCGTTCGCTCTCGCTGCCCGCCGATTGCTGTTTAATTGRGTTCACGGACTTGTCACACCGTTGCACCGTAAAGTGAACGGCGACTTTTTACCAACGAAGYGGAGGCTGCACGCGGGGCGTTCGAAATAAATCGATTTGCGAGCATTCACAGGTGGTGGAAACAAATACGAGCAACTAAATTGTTGTATGATTTTCAAATGGCTTGGTTTGTTTTCCTCTCAATTACCTACCGGTGGGTAAATATTTGAATGTTCAGAGGCATTTAAGCGAATGTATGTATATGGTTAAGAAAGTGAACGTTTAGTGTTCAGGATTGAGGCTTTCGATTGGAAAAAAAACGATTCAAAGATGTTTCGTAAAAGTGGTATCTTTATTTTTATTCTGACCTGAAGGCAGCTCATGGCCCTTAGTTTRTTTTATACCGTTACGCCTAATAATAATCAAATATTATATGACCTCTCCAGCTAATCCTCCGCAATGGACTCTGATTTCATTCATTTCATTCCACCTAACAGTATGTTAATTTAGTTGGAGGAAAGTGATGTATCCTAAAGTAAAATTGACAAGTGAGAGGTTTTTGGGAGTTAACTATCAGTTTGTTCAAGGTTTTTAAGATGATTTCTATGGTAAGATCCAAAATTAGTATTGGTAGACCGAAAGGAGTTGGTAGACCGAGCATTTGATGGAACGATGAGATGTATGAGATATACGTCGACATTGACATGGTTTAGCGAATTAAAATAAAACGGCTACGCTGGCATGACGTCCAAATGAACGAAAACGCTCCAGCTCTGAAACAGAGGAAGAGCAAAACCTCCATTTCGTTTCAAAGACTAGGTGGAGAAGGACTTGGCTTCGCTTGGCACCTCCAATTGCAAAGCATTGCGAAAAGAAGAAATGCCTGGTGCGGGGTTGTTAACTCAACTATAACTGCGTGAGCGGTATCTACGCAAGTATAGAAAAAGAGAAGACTAAATTTCCACTGCTGTGTTCTAAAAAAAAAAACGAAGGCTTGTGATAGGAAAACAGCAAACAGGATTTGAATAGGTGAAAGTAAAACACCACTCAGATTGCCTATCGTGGATTTAAAAGAGGGCTCTCGTATTGTTGGCATCCACAAATTGTAGCGCCGTCTTATAATAGTTATCGGTACATGCGTACATCAAGCACTTGATTGTGTCCCCAGCTTTGCACGCGGTACCTCACACTTTAACCGTTATCACTAGACCTTCTACATATTTACACTGCTGCACCCACTTACAGTTGCTGACAAGCGGYTTTTGTTGTCCATTRACTCCCACACCACCACTTCTRGCGTCGCTCCCTTTGCTGCCGCAAGTATTGTTGTTATCCGCATTCTCCTGTACTTCCATGGAATAGTGSTGCGTTAAACCTGCCGATGCCGGGCGTACAATGTGTCCGCCGCGGTAACCGAACCGCGAGGCGACGCCAGGCAGGTTGGAAGGCGGAGCGCCACCACCGGCTGYCGCGGCTKGTTGATTGGAACGTTGCGTCGTTGCGGCCGCCGCACCCATTTTCTCAAAGTGTATCTTGGCCAGCAGTTCTGCATTCGGTGAGTGTTGGCGGGGTTRTTTGCGGACGGTGRCGTAGAGGAGGCAAGCAAAAAGACAGAAAGCAGCAAGTTTTTGGCGTGTCAGACATTCATAAGAGCGCAATAAAAATATAAGTAATTAGACTCCGAAGGAATAAAATGAAGTGTAGCGCAATGTGTGTGTGTGTGCGTGCCCGGGTGTGGATGTGGGAGGTCATGCAAAAGTTTGGAAGGTGTATAGCGGTGTCGGTTGCACCCAAAACACCTGTTGTGTCAAATTAATTATTTTGCAGTGATTTGTTCCATTGAACTCTAAAGTAACCCGAGTTTACGTATTACGTAAATTATTCATGCAATTCGTTGCACCATTAAGTCATTGCACTCACCTGCATTGCCATTGTCGTCCTGCTGYTGTTCGTCTGTTAACGTCTCCCCATAGTTAGCGCCGTCTATCACAGTTGCCCGTTTTGCGTTATCCTCACTAGGTGTGTTGCCGTCCCGTCTCGTTGTTGTTATATTGTTGCACTTGTCTTGTTTTCGTTTTCCATCACCACCACCAGTCATGCCGCCAACGCCGGCCTCCAGCAATTTCTTGAACTTCTTCGGCGTMGTGTTGAGCTTCTTGCGAAAGCCGAAGGACATTGCCGTACCTTTGGTTTCGATGGCGCCCACTGCAGTGCCTGCTGTGGCGTTGGTGGTGCTGCCATGCTTCTTCGAATGWCGTTTGCTTTCGGCCTGTCCCTGTAAAGGAATCGCAAGTGTTATTACACAAATTATAGTTTAACGGTGCAAAAAACAGACACACAACGACTGAGCACTAACGACAAACCCGATTGTGCGGACGTTGGGTTTTATTGACTATTTTATTAACCGCGATTGCAGTGGCAACCACATGCGTAATTCGATTATTTGGGAGTGCATGGCRTTGTGGTTAAAGTACTTGTATACATGTACGTATATATAATATTTCGGAAAAATGATATATGGTAGTCGAAAAAGTATTTTCGTATTTTAAATATAAATCACAATGAGGTGAAGTTTGTTTAGAAATACGAAAAAACTTTTTCGACTACCAATATTTGTGTTCTAAACCATCAAAAAAGAAGATAAAACTTAAGCTTGCATCTGCTAAGTATTTAAAATWTGCTTCACTTAAGGATTGGAGTGCCCAAAATGAAATACGTTCTTAGTTGACATGGGTCGTGTTTCCTATTTTATTGCTACGMATTTACATAAAGGATATTGGCATCACTGGCGTACTACTGTTAAGCCCGAGTGTAAATATTTTACATTTGTATGTATATATGTTTCCCAGTTTACCTAAAAAGCCGACAATATGTGGAGAATAAGGCTTACTGTGTGCTTATCCGACCCAAATAGTAAGAGCCTCTTCATATGGCTAGTATATTAGTAAAGTATTACTACATATATAATATGTACGAATGAATATGCGATTATATATTGCCTATGTACATATAATTATATAGAGTAGGGTGGGAAGAAATTTATGAAAGACCGAGCGCTGTAATAGATCCTTTGCGGAACTTAGAAATCACTCAGTTCAATTGCAAAGGCCTTAATTATGGAAACTGACTTTTCTTCTTTTTGACTTTTCTAGTCAAAGGTTAGTTGTCAAAAGACACTCGACCCAACCTAATGCGATCTCAAATGGATGTGCGTTCATTTAAGCAATACATTCGCAATCTTTTCACAGTTAAGGTGGGGACGGTCTTGGGTGTAGTGGTGCTTGCGACTGGCGGCGTGTGTCACGTCACTTGCGTCAATACGTCAATTATTGTAAGTACGATGAATCATACGCAATCTGAGCTGGTGAAATGGATGCACAAACTGAAATACATATATGAATCGTTATGGCCCGGTAACTGGTCAAACAGTATAGTCAACAGGAAGTTAAAAGTATTTAAGCAGATCAGTTGTAAAATTTAAGRRCAAAACCGCCTGTTATATTCCACAAATACAACATACAGATGCAGCGCAAATGCTTTCTAGGTCCACAGAAACAGGGAAGCAAGTGTGGAACGCAAAGCAAAGTGGAAGCCTGTGTATACTAGTGTTGCGGTGCGCGAAGCCCGAAATTGATTTGTGAAAGGGGCACAAGAGCCTCTGTCTATTTTATACTTATTGCAGCGTGCAATTTATTGGAAGCGAAAGCGTTTGAACCGCTTGAGCAGCTTTACTTGCGATTTACCATTATGTCGCCCTCGGTTAGTGCCTGCGTCAATTGAATGACTTCAGCGTCGTTATCATTGATTATTTCCTCTTGTTGTAGTATTTTGTGGGCGAGCTCCTCGTATGTGTCGACTGCGTCTTCTAAGTTAATGACGAGGTTCTCGCATTCATCCATCTTGAATGCTGGCCTTTCAGTTGTGCAGCCCCCAGTTTAGAGGGTGGGCTTTCGTCTGCGCGCTGATGCCCCTCTGCTTGCCGTTGGTCGCCGTTTTGAGCACTTCGTAGACCCAACGATGTAAGTAGATAAATGACTTTATCGGCGATACAATTTTTTCACTTATTGCTTCAGAAAAAAAATTTGCAAATTAAACGCTGTGAAACATTTTTAGATCACTGCCTTATTAAATTGTGTACACTTGAATGAACAGCAGGTCCGATTTAGATTTTCACTTCGCCAACTGCACCTCACTAGCGCACTTTGTTCACTGCTTCGGCGAAAGTCCTTGAAAATAAGCACTCTCCTTGATGTCTATCCACACTTTGCAAGCACTTTTTGGAAAATTCGCCAGCTCACWTTGAACGCACTTTGCTTACGAAAATGAATTAATTATTAGTCTTTACAGTTTTTTCTTTTAAATATATATATGTCTTTTGATTTCTCTGTCTTTCACTTTTCCAAATTGATTTTCACAACTTTGCTGCATTTAATGCCAGCGCTACAGCGGTAATGTTTGTGGCAGCGAAAATTCTGCGAGTTTTCCTTTCGTTTTCCATTGCACGGTCTTTTGTGTTGGCCGTTTTCTGTGGAAGTCATTGTAGGCGGACATGCGCACTGGTGGCAAACGATGCTCGTAACTTTTCACGTTACTGTAACTGTCATGCAGTGGTTGTTGCCCTAGCGATTGTGAATGTGGGTATCCTGCCGSGTCAGGCACAGCGACATCTGTCGTTATTTTCCGACTACAGCTTAGGGGTGGTTTATAGGGTGATTACGGGTAATGTGGAATTCTTTTTTGTCTACTTGCCGATTTTCAGGGCAAAAATAGGCATGCGAAGAATACTTAACTTACGGTTCGGAACAAAATGTGATAACAAATAAAGAGTGATCCGTTTTTGAGTTCTACACTTTTTTAAAGAAAAACACAGAAACTTCAAATTTAATGGTGAACGTTTATTGTCATTTCGAAGAACATTTTTTCGCATTCATTTCTGGAGATTCTCTCTGTCAAATCCAGGCCGCGGCTACGTCTCAGATGATCCATCAATTGAGTCCAATTACACTGGCCCACAAACCATACAAAAGCGTTTTTGTCTGTATTAAAGGCAGCTCTTGAGCTGTCTCTTATACACATCTAGATGTGTATAAGAGACAGGTATTAGACTGGCCCACAAACCATACAAAAGCGTTTTTGTCTGTATTAAAGGCAGCTCTTGAGTCTCTTCAGGTTGCTCTTCATCCCACATCCGGCAATCTCGCTTTGTTTGCGTAACCACTGAGCCAGAAATAGGCCTCATCGCTAAATTTGGTTCGGAAATATCGGATCTTCTTGGAAGTTATCAACAGCCCATAGAGCCAAACGAACTAAGTCCGAGTTGCAACGAACGGTGTTCGGTCGAATATTATTAAATAATGAGTGCTGGGTCTAAAGATGAGTGATGGTGTTATGAATAATATGCTCAGTAGTCCGATTACGTTGACCATAAGTTGAGCGAAGTGTGTGAAACACATTCTTTACAGAACGTGAGCTTTCGTAATAAGGTTAAACGATTTATAATAAAAAAAAAAAATAAAAAAATATTTGAGTAATTAATATTGTGGGTAATTTTAGGAAAGTTAGATAGTCTCATCTTGAAAAATAGTTGGATGAAAAGCAGGATGAGTATTGTTCCACAGACAGCATCACAGATATAAAGCCCTCAAAATATATTATATTAAATCGAAGATAGAGTTAAAATATGTTATTAATGTGTCAAATTCAAGCATGAAAAACAAAAATTTGTCTTTCTTGATATAGTAACTAAATTTGGAACGTACAAGACACGAGCCCAGCAGCAAAGCTTGGCTTGGACTATTTTCAGACTCCCTTGATTTAATTCTACCCAGAATTTTTCGGTTCTTTCAATTCCAATTGGTATTTATCGCGATAAGGAGAAAAATATATATCAGTAGAATCGCTGTAGGCTACAAGAACCAATTGTCAAGAGCGACATCTCTGCCACCGCGTGGCCCCGTCTATAAAATCTCGGGTAATGAATACAATTACTTTGTCAAGAAAATTGCGATTTTATAGTCACTCACCTGCATGTAACCGCTGCCTTCAACCGTTAGGTGTTCGCTGYCGCTTAACCTTTCACTGTTTCCATCGACATTGTCAAGATCAGCTGCATCGGCGACACCAATARCACCAATATTGACTTTGCTCACTTCACTGTTTATTAATTGCCCTTTTTCGGTGGCATCCAACCGCTGTTGCTGCCACYTCGGCTGATAAACATATTCCTCATGTTTCGCAGCGATTTCGGCGTTATTGTTGGCGTCGGGGGCAACCGTGTCGCCAGCAATCTGTTCCTGTGGCTGCGACGGCAAATGAGCCACACAATGTCGTTGATTTTTATGAGCACCAACGGCGGTTTCTTTATTGGTGTTGTCAACTACAATAGCCTCGGTAGCATTATTATGGTTGTGAATACCAAACAACTGCTTGCCGTCGTCACTGTCATCGTGCCCGTCCTCATCCTCGCCCTCGCTCTCGTCGTCATCGTCAGTGGTGCTGACAACGGTGCAATACTCACAACCACTCACACTGCTGTACACAATTGTCGAAGTCGTCGCTGTCGTCGTTGTCGGACCATCAGCGGCAGGGGTAGACGACTCGGCTTGTGAAGTAACACAATCTTGCTGTAACCTTTCCGTATARCTTTCTGTGCCATTTGTGTTTGTTGTTTGTTCGCTGTTTGTTGTCCATTGCTGTGATTTGTTTTCACTACTTTGCTGCGTTGATGATTGCTTTTGTGCTGTCTTCGATCGTCTTTTGTTTCCACCCTTCTTCTGGCTCTGCTGCTGTCGCTGGTTTTGATTTTCATTTGMATCTTGGTCTGGCCGTGTGGCGCCGACAGTTGTTGTATWCGCATCATTATCCCCRTCCGTGGGCACTAGCTGCTGCTTTGTTGTTTTTGGCTTCGCCTTCCGCTTCTTGCCGCTCACGTAGTAATATTCGCATAATTGATTTCCATGCTCGTCCTTCAGCGCAATGTATTCGGTGCTCTCAGCAAATTTGCTCCAAATGTGGTTAGCCGCCGCCAARTCCTTTTCCGACAACGCTATTGTCAGTACGGAGGGATGCTTCGAGACACACTTGCCCATAGGTGCTGTCGACGGTCCGGTCACTTATACAAGTCGCCAATCAGCTGTGTGGTATGTTTCGGAGATGCGTTGCTGGGCTATTGGTTTTTGGCAACTTACTCTTTGCTTCATAAGTATTCAAAGGGATTTCCTGTTGTTGTTTGTTGTTATTATTAAATTATTACAGTGACTATTTCGCATTGACCCCGCAATTTCCTGAGTTGCTACTGTGTGTTGCTCGTGTCAGCAGCACGCTTCAAAGTCTGCAGAGTAGTTTTGGCTATCTAATCWGAACGTTGCATTGGCGCAAAAGCTTTAGTGTCTTCAATTGTGTCTATCTACTGCACAAGCCTTCTATTTCTTTTCGATGTTTGTAAGAGTTCCTTCGCTACAAATGTCAGCTGTCCCGCGTTCCCCCAATTCGCTGGCCTCTACCGCAGAATGTTTGAACTGTTCATTGGCGCCGCAGCGACGACAAACTTTCGGCGCTGAATTTTGACAGTTATGATTTTTGGCTGCCGAAGCAAGCTAATATCCCGCTTGCTGAATGCTGAGTCCACTGTTGTATGATTTTTGTGCCAGTAATTGCTCTAGAAGCTCTAAAACAACAAAAGTAAATATATGTTTATAGTTTTGTATATTTGAAGGAAAAGTTCTGTTTTGATAGAATAACATTGAGTGGAAAAGTATGAAGTATGAGCATTATAAAATAAAAGCGAAAAGCAGGTCAGGAAATTCCCTTCGGATACCGTCAAATTATAGGAATTGACCGAGGAAGRCATTTGGATAATTTTGGTATTTTCTTGAATKTTTTTGAGAATGGGCTTTAAATATGTAGAAAGCATGTCAMATATAGACCRCCTAACCTACGACCCCACAAATTTGCATAAACATTATTAACAGGATCGATGTGGCAATTAACACGTTGCAAAGACCCACGAATTCACAAACACACACACATGCAAWCATGTGTTCTACAGCAATTAATCAGCAACAAAGAGCCGTCTCGCCGTCGGTGTGTGGGCGGAAAGAGTCTAGCATTAACACCTCCTAAAAATTCACCATCAACAATGGCAATGAATTCGCGTGGGCAAGATCAATGAGCGGCACATAGACCACGTCAGTGTGCTGGGAGCGCGGGGGAGGACGCTGAACTCACTGTTGCTACAGCAACTGCAGCACTTAGCTGTGCGGTGCTTCGCCACACATCTTCGTAAGGGTGTTAAGGACTGTACACATGGACGTGGCCTCACACTCACACTCGCACGTGAACATTCACATGACGTCGCACAACATTTACAACGTCTGAATATTACTCATACGCACCATCAAATTACAGTAATCACACCCACATGCAAACACACTCAAATCCACATATACACACGTRCAATTGTACTTTATTGCACATAACTGATGCCAAATGTGTGAGCACGCTTCACTTACAAGCTAGCACTTTGTGTTTATGTAACCGCAGGGATGCGCTCGTGAGTCTTTATGCAAATAACTTTAATGGATAATAATTATTGATCAAATTTCATTATTACGAGCTGTGTTTATGCGCCGAATGGGACTGTTGAAAACAATTTTCTTCAAATTAAATGACTCAAAGCATTATCGTAAACTCTTTCAAACTTGTGCTCCGCCAAAGCCATAAATAACTACAAATGTTTGCTGGCAATATTGAGCACAATTCTTACCTAACATATATACGCCCAGGGTTTAACTACATTTTGGTTCAAACAGAAAATCAAATAAAATTTAGAAACCTGTTCTGGGAAAAGCTATTTACTTTTCTGCTCTTATTTCTCCCCTTTCTTTTTTGATTTCTTTAGTTGGAGCTGATAGCTGCTACTATTACTTCGGCTGATGTGCATAAAATAAAGACGTGGGACGATGAAAATCATCGAAAAACCACTCGAGAAATTGCTGAAAGATTAAGGTTGTCTAACGCAACTGTTCACAAGCTTATGAAATGCCACCKATGAGTTTCTCAAGCTCTTACAGAACGAAATTTGCTGCGTCGCACGACTTCGTCGACTTATCAAACGTCAAAGAAGATTCATTTCCGAAGCCCCCATTGTTACAATTGGCGAAAAACGGTTTAAAATAAAAGAATGTAAAACGCAAGAGATCATGGTCTAAAAAGGATGAATCATCTCAAATCACTTCGAATGCCGACAGTGAGCAAGAGAGGTTATGTTGTCAAAGGGTTCATGAGCAAAAGCCCAAGCTCGACATTCTGAAGTGCATTGTGGCTACGCAAATTGAGTGAAGGTAGCTATTGAAGGGGTCAGAATTGAACAATATGTAGAAAAGGTGTAGCACTTCACCAGGACAATGCGAGGCCTCATTCAAATTTGATAGGTCAGCAAAAGCTTTTCAAAGGTCAATTGATAATAAAACCCRCATAAACACACAAAARAATCAATAAATTCCTAGAGATTTCCAAAACTTTTCGCAAAGTAGTTATTTTCCACTTTTTAGCGCAAAGCAACGAATGCAAGTTTGCTGCAACATCCCGCTCAATTTCAAGAAGGAAAATGTGAATGCTGCTGCTTTCAATGCCAGTCAATCTTTCGAAAATTGGCATTCAATTYTCTCCTTTGGTGGCGTAATTACGCTGCTAAGGTAAAAATTAAATTAGCCCGTGGAAATGAAACGCTCAGCTGCGCAAGCATTCCACAGCGATTCTTAGAAATTTATTGCGCCAAACCACACTCAATGACATCTACGGCGCTGTGTTTATTCTAATTTATAATTCACTTGCCGGCGACGCAAACACTCCCTGGAGCGCTGTAGCGGGCGGATTCAGAAACACATATAGTATGTGTGCCAGCCGAGATTTCTCATACGAGTGCGCGCCCCAGTCAACAGCTTCGTGCTGAGGCCAACTGCCGCTAATGGCTCCGCAAGAATCTCATAATCCTGCACCCAATTTACGATGTTTTTTGTACGGCTTATGTGTTGTCTCGCTGCTGCCTGCAACGTCTTATTAATCCACCTTCGTATTTGTGCGCTTATTTCAAATGAGTTCGAATGAGTTCGTCAGCACATCGGAGTTAGGCCAAAAGCATGCTCAACTCACCTTCACAGCGCTATGCTATGTTATGCTATGGCATGTGGATAATGCGCAATGAAAATCAGCGAATTTTAGTTGCTAGCCATCGACGGTGCTACGTGTGTATATGTAAATGTGTGTACTACATGCTCATACATAAATGAAGACAGCCATGCATTATGGGCACCGAGTCTTATTATTATTTTTTGTTTATCGTAATAAGGTAATTTGCCAACGGTAATGTTGCATGATTGGCTGAGTTTCGGTTTTACTTATCTTACAACAAAAATAATGGCATTTTCTTGTAGGTGGGCTTAGTACACGAGCGTGTGTTTTGCAATTCGTGGAAAACTGGAAAATCGATTAAAAGTGAACTGAAAGTATCCCAGAAAGTGCTTTTCTTTTTGCAGCTATTCCCTTTACTTTCATTTGGCTCATTTTAATTATATATTTTTATGTTTCTTGCTGGTTTTTCGGTTCGTGGTTGCAGCTGTAAGCGCGGAACAGCAATTTGTTTGTGGAATTCTAAATGCATACAAATGTATATTTTTTGATCTTTATCTTTTCTTATGAGCAGACATTATGCGTTTTTTTGTGAATATGAGTCGAAATTTTATATCCGAAATGAACTTGCTGATCCCCAACAACGATACTATCAGTTACTACTTGCTTGTACAGTTAATGCACGTCTGATTCATCTCACGATCAACTGAATTGAAATGCYAGTCGTTTAAATGCTAATTACATTGCAAATTGCTAAAAGGTTACACTCGCATGCACACAAGACATTGAGATATTTCTGATTRTGGTCCAAGTTCCATGCTTGATTAAGTCGTGTTTTGCTACATACGAAGGTTGTTATATACGTACATCTGAGAAGAAGAGTATACTCTTTCCCAAAGAGTTTTTAAAGCCTAGATTATGCGAGACATCTTTTGTGAGGTATATAGAGATAAAATATAGTGAGAGAGAAGTATTTTATGAAAGATCTATTTATCAAAATAAGGAACAGCATGGTAGTGGGGAGAAAGCAGACTGCCTAACTCGCAACGTTACAACCGTCGTTATCATAGCTGTAGGATGGGATAGATACCGAGACTTGAAGAGGTGATCAGGTGATTGAGGGAACAATTCTTGAGACTGCTGAATGGCAGTGAAAGCATAACAACAAGAGATGCTGAATGCGATTCCCCAATCGACGACCATGGAGCGGACGTTCCATTGCCCGACCATGAAGAAGTTGGAATAGCAATTATCCATCAGAAGAACAACAAAGTGGCAATGGCCGATGGACTTCCGGGCGAGCTATTCAATTACGGCGGCAATGAAATGATAAGGAGGTCGCGCAGTTTCCTTGTAGAATATGGTCAGACGAAAGAGTGCCAGAATGCCAGAATTTAAGTGTTAGTAGCTGATTGGCCTGCAAATTCAAAAATTGCCAAATATTTAAAATGCGCCACAGCTTGGAAAATACCCGTAAAAAGGAGACCGACACACACCATCTCCTCATCGATTGCAAAGCTGCTTTCGACAGCACGAAAAACCGCTATGTCTGAACTTGGTACCCCGCAAAGCTAATACGGCTGTGTAAACTGACGTTGAACAATATCAAAAGCTCCGTCAGGATTGGGAAAGATCTATCCGAGACGTTTAATACCAAACAAGGTTTCAGACAAGACGATTCCTTATCGTGCGACTCATTCAATCTATTCCTGGACGCACAATCTTCTATAAGAGCCTACAGCGGATGGCGAACCCCGATAATATTGATTATGGTTCTGGTAGTGATTGTATGACGAAATATTTCCTTTCATCAAACAAACAGTTGTCGCACTCGCGCGCTTGGCTCTCACGTCATTTTTTACAGTCAAAATTGCGAAGTCGTAGATAATTTCGTCTATCTTAGAACCAGTATCAATAACAACATAGTATCAGACTCGAAATCCAATGCGGGATAACTCTTGCCCTTTTTCATCGGTTCTTATTTCGGTTTATATCCACACTCCGGAAACCACAGGCATTTTTCGAATGTTGGACTTTTAATTCACATTCCCCATCTTGTATTACGTTTTAGAAAAGAATTTGCCGATCTAGACTATTTTCAAATATTTAGATATTCTTCCTATAGCAATAGGTCTCATATATCTAAGTTTCCGAATGGCGCTGTAGTTACAGTTTTTCATGTTTACTACACAATGTAATTTTGCATTTTGCAGAATGCAGTGACCAGTTATGGTCCGAATCCAATCGAAAGCCCACCAGCTTGGCGCTAGCTGCATGTTCGTATATGTATCTACCATATGTTGGAGAAATATGTGGTAGTTCGCGTGCTCGAAGCTTGCCGGTGCTTATTGCGTGTGCTTGTTTTTGTTTTCTCCATGGGCTGCGCTTACGAACGTGGAAAGAGAGGAGGCGCCGATAATGATAATTAGCTCATTGGCGATCATCGTCTACAGAAGTGTGCAAAAAAGTGTAAAGTTTGACTGCTTCGCTAGTCGTTTTTGCTTTGGCGATTTCTACAATAAAAAGATTATATGCACGACGTTATTGTGTTGTAAAAACAACTTTCAATTAAATTTTTATTCCACTTCTGATCGTTAACGTTTACCAAATTATCGCTGGCTTAAATTTACCGACTCCACATTTTTTAGAAGTCGCGTGAATGTTCATATGCGTATATTAGGGTGGGCAAGAGCTTTCATATGAATTTTTCAGTATAATTTAAAAGCTTATCAAGTTGTCATGACCAATTTTAAATTAAATATAGTTTATAGTCA